ATGGTTAGGAGTGTGTGTGCATGCACAAAAAGCCTGAAAGGGTTCATGTGGCAGCAGGGCAGGGCGGTTGCTTTGGGCTATCTATTTCCTCTTAGTTTCATTGCAGTGACAGGGAACACTTGCTCCTGTGACAACAGCAGTCACGCTGTACTCCACACCACACAAGGGCAAAAATCTTACATGGTGAGAAAAGAGCTTGGACTAGGAGACCTAGATGTTTTCCTGTCTCTTGAATTCTACAAACAACTGGAAGACTGCACTTCCCACTGCCCATCATAAAACCTCCACAGGGATGGAGATCCATCTTTCCCACGCCCCCGTACAAGGTCTTGGGCTCTGCTGTACTGCTATGCTCTCCAGTCATGACACAGCAATTGCTCGTCTCCTTATGGACCGAGCTGAAAGCAGGCTAAAAACATAAATACTAAAAACATCTTCCCTGAAAATACTGCCTTGGTAGAACTACAGAATAGAACCCTGCTTTTTTTTTACTGCCTGGTTTGCAATAAGGAAATAAGTCTTGTGATTGTCTGTAAAGCCTGTACAGGAGCACTGCTGCACCTCTAAGACCCCAGCAAGCTGGAAGAGGTCTGACAGTTAACCAGAAAAATAAAGAGCACAAATCCTTCCTTCGTAACACCTCACGTGTCTTCACAGCAGCAAGGCTTCAGTCTCAGGCACTGAAATAGCTCAAAGCAAGCTGGCAGCAGCAGAGCAAGTAGGTGTCTCTGCCCAAGGAGAAGGGCTTAGGCTGCAATTCTTGCTGGGAAGCTTCTACTGGAAATTATTTTTCACTCTAGTGGTTAAAGGCTTCCTGCAGCTTCAGGCTGGCAGAGCAGGGTTGGGGTGGGGGGCAGGCAGGGGGGATGCTAAAGAAAAGGACAGGAGTAGTTTATTCATGAGAATTTTCTGTCATTTGCCAGGAGCCAGAGGTTGCAACACACCGCAGGCAAAAACACTTTGCAGCATACAGAGGAGAAAATGATTAAAATCACATGCTCAGGGGGGAGCCCAGAACCTATTTCCACCAGCCTAGCCAGGCTGCCGTGGCAGTCCTGCCCGTCCGTCAGCTGAGGTGCCGCTCCATCAGAATCTCCTTGCTCGTGCTGCTTCTGCTATTCCGGCATCTATTCTTGTTTTGGCCACCCAGAAGTTCTAGCAAAATCACAAACCTAGAATCCATCCAAAGGGTATCTGGGGCAACACCCCCCAGCAATAGAGTCAATCAGCCACTGGAATAGAACCTGGCCCTTAAACAGTCTTGTTTATTACATTTCAGTACTGAAGAGTGCAATCCCAGTTAGGAGACAGAAGGATTGCTGAAGAGCAGAATACCTCTATTAAGAGGAACTTTTTTTTTTTTCTTGGTTTTTTTTATTTAGACTGACATATAGAAAACAGCCACCTCCTTCCCATCCTTCCTAAGAAAGCAAGCACATCTAGGGTGGAATGAGTTCAGCTGCTGAGAAAGCCTCCCCCCAAAGCATGTAAAATACATTTTTTTGTGTGAAAAACACAGCAGAGATTCCTCCCAAGCAGAAAATGCTCAAATGCTCCATTGCTCTGTTTCCATCCCTTCTTTCCCTGGAGAAAGGCAACAAGCCAGCCTCATATTAACAGCAGCATTCCAGCAATTAGCATACTTTGGGAAGCTCCGTTCTTACTAAAGCAAAGGTTAATTGCTCCACATTCATTTGCCAGACTTCAAGAGATGAGTTCTACAATATCAGGTTGGGGTTTTCATCTTTTTAATGCAATTTTTGCTTCTCTGGGAAAAAGTCCGAGTTAGAAAGTGCCAAAGGCAAATATTATCTAATTCTTCTAATGCAAAGCTAAAAGTCACTTTTCACAACTGCTAGAGAGTCAGAAAGGGTCTAAGAACAAAGTCATTGAAAAGCAAAAATGTCTTCAAGCTATAGTGGACTTTAATGAAGTTCAAGAAAACCACTAGCAGGAAACGACCAGAATGCAGATCGTCCAGGGGGTCAGTCTTACAGACCTGGAAGGAACCCCTGCAACCTTGTGCTCCATCCACTGAGCAATTACAGAAGACACATGTCCTCCCTCACTTGAAAAGCCTTTGGTGGATCCCATCTGCCTAGAAGTCATTCTTGACTAAAAAGATAATCTTTCAGAAAAGCATGGTCTAAGAGTAATAAAGACAAGTAAAACTGTACCAATCCATAGAGGACAAGAGCAAAGATTTACTCAGGGAATTTGAGGCAACTCAGGTTAACCCAGAATTATTGTTTATGTATTCAAACACCAAACATGATTAGCTGACATCTCCATTACTAAAAAAAGCCATCTGCCAAGCCAAGCACATATTACTGAACTGTAACAACAAATTATTTCTTCTTCTTGTCATTATCTGTTCTTTTCCTGGACCTCTACTACTGTATGCAAACAATTCCTGATGTTTCTGTAAGCTAAGCATTCCTGCTAGAGCCAGTGAGATGCTGAGCTCATTCCAGATTCTCTCTTTTGGAGCTGTTTATTACACTAACAAATCATGGGACAAATTTTATCTTACAATATCCGGGATGGATGAATTAGCAGGCAGGGAAGAAGGGCTTTTAAGGATGCACCTTCATTAAAAACAACTAACCAATCAAAACCACTCCCAAAACCCAAAAAAACAACTCAACAGAAGCCAAGTGAAGAGATGCTAACAGTTCGTATTGCATGGGTATGCTGAAATCTCAATCTGCATGGGCCCTGCTGAGGTAAGCGGAGTATTAAGCAGAAAGACCCTACCCCAGTGAGCTTACAGTCAGGAGAAGAGAAGGGTTAAACAATGAAGCACGGAGAACACTATTTCATTGCCTGGCTGGTTCATAAAGAACAGAGCCAAGTTTACTGTAGATTTTATATTTTGCAGTTTACCTTCTATGACTGCTGCTCCTAAAATGGGAAGTTCTCACCTGAGCACTCTCCCCGCTCCCTGTAACAGGTAAAGGAGAAAATGGGAGCAAAAAATCTAAACCAACCAAAGGAGGACAGATCCCCCAGGTTCATTTTTGCCCATGTGTGGCTGCTTTAACACGCCAACATGAAGCATCAGCGCATGCGTAAACAGAGAATGTCTCTGCCACCTTTCCCTGCCCACTCCTGCCCCTGGGACTAGCAGGGACAGCAGCAGCTTTGCTGACAGTAGGGATGGGGGGGGGGGAAGAAGCAGACTCTGGTGAAGTCAGGAAGCAGACAGACAAGAGGCAAACCCTTGAGCAGCTGTCAGCTCCTGCTGTGATACAGAATGCAATGCACATATTGGGGAAAATCTGAGAATATAGAACTGTCTCACCTGTACAGCTGGGTCTACAAGCCCACATGTTCACACTAGATTTAAGTGTCACATCCAGTGGGCACAAGCAGAACCCATCTTCAGGTTTTTTCCTCTGAAAATGAACAAACTTAAAATTGTTTTAAATTTCATTTAAATAAAATGAAAACTATTGGACAACCCAACAGTGTTTTGGCGTGCAAGTGCATTGCTAGCTTCAAAAGTGTATTTGTAATGCCAGAGATGCCTGACATTTGGACACAACAGATCCTGAAATCCTCAGAGAAGATTGTGCCACGTGAAGTTTTGACTCAGAAGACACGTGTGGTCTGTCACAGCCGCTCAGTGCTCTTCAACCACCTAGGGCTGCTCTAACATGGCCCAGCCACTCACGGTCCCCATGGGGCTGCAAAAAGCAAAGGAATGAACTCCATCAGCTTGAGCCACAGCCTGCCCAGGGTTGCTGCTATCGCCAGCAGAAAAACCTGCTCTCCAAGACAACAAAGGACATTTGAGACTGCCTCTGACACTTGCAGGCACACACTCCTCCTGATTCACATCAGCTGTGGAGCCAAGTTCTACCAAACCCCTATTATTAACGAGATGGCAAGTCTGTCTACACTTCCCTACTACCACTATTGGTATTGGAACCTGGTGCCCCCAAAAGGGAACACTACATAGCTAACTTTAAATGGGAGCCAGACTGCACAGGATGTGCAAAGACTAACCCTCTGCAACCTGTCACTGCTGTTAGTCAGAGTCACCTTTATCTTTTAGATCCAGGGATATTACTGAGGATACAGTCACAAAAGATCTGTACTCAAACGCTTAGCTCTTCCAATATCTGATATCATGGTATGTATCCTATACACTAAACTCTATTTTACCGAACTGCAAAACTAAACTCAGTTTTTCCATGTTTCGATGTTTTTTTCCTTCTAAACCTCTACTGAAAGCACTACTCCTTTGCTAGGACACAAATGGCAACAAGCTTGATGGCAAACTTCCAGTACGCCATTCTTAGTGCAACTGTGGCATTTTGGCTTAAAATCATCAGGTACTCTATTCTAGATAATGAAAACAACAACAGAATTCAGATATGGAGAAACCACCCATCAGTACAGTGATCTCTCCCAAAGTCCTGCCCTTTTATAAAAATAATTGCGAGTTCCTTTCTGTACAGGAAGGGAGTTAGTGTCATATCCAACATGTAAAAACTGAAGCACCAAAAGGGGAGTGACCAGCTAGGATTGATTCTTGCAAATACTTGCGGAGTATGTACAACTACATGCAACAAGACACTCTCGCAAATGCCTCAAAAGCCCCGATACACACCATTATGGGGAGTATCACTGGATTAGAAAATAATAATCAATGTTTTTTCTTCTATTTCCCTCTCATGTTTGAGTTGGTCTCTGACCTCATTCTACTGCTCAGGATTTGTCAAATACAAGAAACACTCCGGAATATATTCTCTTGCATCAATGTGAAAGAGAGAGAGACATGTCCAGAAGACACAGCGTCCCAAATAACAGTAAATGCAGAAATTCAATGCCTGCATGGTCCAGGCATCCCCTTCCAAGACCATGTTCTGTCCCACACCTCACCACCAACTCCGTCCTCCTTTTGTCTTGTCCTGAGCCTGACCAGGAACACTTAGGGAGAGGACAAACCCTTGTCCTTCGCCTTTCTCGGGGGACCCCGCAATTCAACTCACCAGCACACGATCTCCAAGCCGTAAGTCCTTCTCCCCTTTTTTCACAGACCCACTGTCCGAGAGGTTAGATCCAGACTCGTTGCCCGTCTTCATGGCGCTGTTCAGGACGCTCTCCCGCAGGGGGATGACACGAGTGGAGAGAGGTGGCGTGGCCGTCCCCGAGTGCAGTGACAAGTTCTGAGCCGTCAGGGAGTCCACGGAGGGGGCGTCGCTCCCCGAGCCCTCGGCCACCGGCTGCCGCGTCAGCTTGGAGGGTCGCGTAAAAATCCCCTGCAGCGGCTGGCATTCAAAGTAACGTACTCCACCGACAGAGCCGTCATTCTTACCCACCGGGTCATCCAGAACGACCCCTGCCCACTGGCCTGGAGCAAATTGCGTCTCCCCAAGATACTGGATCACACCTGGCTTCACTCCATTTACCCAGACACGTTCGCCCACCACAAAGTCTCCCAGGAAATCATCGCCCACCTCGGCAACCTTTGAACCTGACTTCTCGGTGCTGGCGGTGGAGGTGGTACCCTGCTTGTGTAAAGGTGAGCCTGTGAATCAAGGGAAAAGAGGTTTTGGTATGAGGAGAAATCCTAAAAGGCAGCCAAAACACCAGGAAAGGGCATTTACAAAAAGGAAACATCTGGGACAACAACTTAGGTTGCAGGTTTACACCAGGTGAAGGTTAAATCCTGAGCGACCCCATTACTTACACATCTTCCTTAGCAGGAAAGCAATCTGCACAGAAATCTCCATCTGCTGCTCAGTTTCTGCAGGTCTTGCACACAACATAAAGAACCGACCCCATGTCTTCATCCTCCTTTACAATGCCCACTTACCCCCAGTCCCGTCACAGCACCAAAGGTATTTTGCGTTGCAGCACTAGTGTGAATAAGCTCAAAAGGACAGGAGCAGTGGTAAGTGCTTAAGGATCAAAAGTGCTGCTTTGAAGAAAGATGCCAAAATCATCCTTTCATCCAAAAATTAAAAAAAAAATAAAAAAAAAAAAAGGAAAAGAAAATGAAAAAGAAAGAGAGGCACTGATGTTTTAGTACCTGGCACCATGAGAACTCCATGTGTTTGGATACAGGCAGTTAGTCCAAGCATTGAGAGTCCCACCAAGGGCACTAATAGCTCCTGTGGGACCATGCAGCTGCCTTTGCAAATTACTCAGTTTTTCCAGCTGCTGCTATGCCCTTTGCTGGAGCAGAACCCAGCAGTGAGCAGACACCTGGGGTACGTTCAATATAAACAGCATATCTATAAACAGGAAGCATCTACAAACCCCTGCATGCACAGCCTTCCCAGGGCTCAAACGCCGTGCACTGAACTCAATAAAACCTGCAATAAAGAACACCGTTATTCTGGCATCAGCCTGTCAAGCCAAAGCCAGACCTCCAGCAATGCTTCACTTCACTGGGAGAAGGAAAACTGGAAATTCACTGTCCTGCTCACACTCTCCAGCACACCCTTCACCGTCCAAACTCTCCGTAACACACAAGGAGGTCCTTAAATATGTGACTGGCATCTGAAGGGGAACAAAGACAACCCAAGCAAATAAGTTAGCAGTGACCCCACTCTTGCTGACCCCAGTGTCAAACTCTCCTATCACAAACTTTGGGCTTTCAGCCTAGGCCCTGGGGGACCGAAAGACAAGGACACATGGACTTCATTAAAACTCTCCAAAGGTTAAAGGGGAAGGTTAAGTAAAGCCCTAAAAGAAATCACACAAGAGATTGAGGAAATAAGCTGCAAAATAAGATCCAGACATTCATATACCATGGACCTTCAGTCATCCTCAGTTCTTGGTAGCACTGAGGTCCCAAGTGTGCTTCTCCCCCACAGCTAGTGTAGGGAGGGTGTGCATGAGACTTGGTCCCACACATCCTGTGCTCAATGAAAGCTAACTGGACTCTGCAGCCAAACTTTAAGCCGAAATTGCTGGGTGCCACCAACCAGAAAAGCCTAAAGCACAGGAAGAAATTTTTATTTGCTACCAGAGAAGGCTGACAGTAAGCTTAAGCAGCTGCAGAGACAAACCAAACTTGAGTGCTTATCTGAAACAAACTGTGAAACTTGTTCAGCCTCAGCCATCACTATGGCTCAGCCTGCACCATTTCTACAGCTCTTTCAGAAGTAATGGGCCTGACAGATCAGACTCAGCTCCTAGAAAGCCTGAAAAACATAAAAGCTCTCAAACCAAGATACTTCAAAGCTTTACTAAAGGTCTAATGTCAGGGGAAAGAAAAGAGCACCAGTGCTTCAGCACTAGCATAAATAACTTACAGTTTCTGCTAAACCAGCTGTGTTAAGGGGGACTAATATTGACACTGTGGTTCTCATTAGACTCCAGAGTCAACACTCTTGACAAATCTATGGCAAACTCTGCCAGTTTGTGGCTTCTGGAAGTCAGCAGTACCTCTGGCTGATCTGACCCAGGAGAGAGCAGCAGTTAAGGCATGATCATACAAACTCCTCTTACAAACAGAATCACCTCCAACCTGCTCACTAGGCTTGGTGGGCTGGAGCTGGAACAACTCTTGAGAAAATTAGCCAAATGGGGCATGTTCAAGAGGCCCTTCCCATGACTGGCACAGGAAGAGCAATAGCATAAATACTGTTCCCAACTGAAAAGGTTAGTGGCAATCAAGACTATAGTGCTCCTGGAAGAGCTCAGCCAGCTCCCTGGAAGAAACCTTCTCTTGGCCTTTGGACCCTGCTCTGAAAGTTTCCTCAATCTCACATGTTCTTCATTAACTTTTTTTTTTGGCAAATGTCTGACATTCAAGCTTGTGTTACTCTTAATCTTGTAAAAGACAGTATGTCAAAATGAGCTCCATTAGAGGGATGGCATTACATCCAAGAACCTGGTTCACCTTAAAAACTGAAACCCAAACACTATAAGGATGCTTAGAGCTTTTGATCTTTATGAAAGACTCTAAATAAAAAGAGGTAGGAAGGAAACAGGGCTCCATCCATGTGAACCATAAAAACAACCATAAGCAGAAAATAAGGCTACCATTTTCATTTCAGTGCTTAATAGCACAAGATAGTAAAGCAGCCAGATTAGGAACCAGCAAGTTAGATTTTAAAAAAAAATACTTACTCAGTTTAATAACCAGAGATGGCTACAGGGGTTTATCACCAACAACGTCCGAGATATGTATCTCTCTCCTTTCATGGGTATGAGAATAAAATTAAATTAGAAACACAACTTACATCCTGGTTTCATGCTCGGCAGAGTGCCGTAACACACAGCTCTCGTGCCTCTGACATGTTTGCGACACACAGATGCAACATGCCAAGCAGAACAGCCGAATTCAACTCTACTGTATGGGAACTATAAGCACAGAAATTTGGGGGGGGCTCTGCATCTGTATTCACAAAAGATCAAAGCTGTTTTTCTAGTCCTACTGGAGCCTGGGTTTCAGTACACTAGCAGTCTTTATTATGGCTGTTAGTTAATGATCAAGATATAGGTTACACTAGCTCTCACAAACACCTCTGCAACATGGCTGGGATAAGCAAACCTTTCAGCAGCAAAGCTCAAGCAAAGAAAGGCAGGAAGGCTGCCCAAGGCTGAACAAACAACGCAGCAGGATTTAAAACCACATCTAGACTCACCATATTTCACTGCAAGAGCAAACACCTTCAAAAACTTACTTGGACTGGGGCGGGGGACCGGGGGGAGAGAGAAGGGTTCATTGGACTCTTGGTGCAACATTGTGTTCCCCAAAAAGCCAATATTTTAGTGGGACTTTATACACCCTGTCTGTTTTAGGTGCCTGTTTGACAGGCAGGGCTGCCAAACGCCAGTAATTATAACATCTTAGTGAAACAATCTAATTACAGGCTCCCAGCAGAGCAGTATAGTCAGAAGCATTATTATTCTTTAGCATGAGATTAGTTATTAAAAAAATAGGACTTCAGTGAGGAACTGCCAGAAGGTTCATCATCTTCATTATGGCCATGTTATAGAAACTTGGTATTTTACATGACCTTCATTTACCCACATATAAAATAATAACTAAGCCACCAATTTTCCTATCATGCAGCTAACAGGCTTTTTGTGCACTAGGTTTTCAGAGAAGCCAAGAGTCACTATGATCAAGCTAAACTCATTCTTCTTGGCTTCAGGTCTGATGGACCCATTAACTAGATGGCCAGACAACATCCAGGGTAGTCTGAATAGACTAAGTTCTAATCCTTCCAGGTAGGTATCTCGTCACCAGCCCTTCAGAAGGCAAAAGGTAGTGATGAGCAACTTGTCTTCAATCCCATGAGTACCTTAGGATAGCCCAAAACAGACATCAGCTGACGGCACTGCTCTTCTGACATCTGGAGTTACCCGCTCTCCAAGCAGGTCTTAGAGCATAGGCAAAAGCAACCCAAAAGCCCAGGATTCCTGAGCTTTCTCCAGCCTACAGGCACCTAAAGAGCTGGTCTATGGCTGTATTGCTTGGATTTGCTGTTTCTGGAGAAGAAAAATCTTCTCGTTCTAGTCAGACTCCCCAGTTAAACACCAAGTTCCAAGAAACTCGCTAACAGCAAAGCAAGGGTACAGATCTCAGGTACAAAGTTGAGAACAGAGTTACACAAGATAAACAGACCCAACAAAATGTAGACTGAGTATTTTCTACTCCAGACATGCTGTTACCTGGTGATGCCGATCAAGAAGACACAGGAACTCTTTGAATGTCACTATTAGGCATCTAAGCAGCTCACCTGGAAGCCAGTGACGGGGAAAGCTCTTTCCTCCTTGGTCCAGGAGAATCCCCCTTTGCTGCTCTGTGCAACACAAACTTCGCTTGCTAGATGGGACTGCAACAGCAGCTCCTCCCTCCCTCCCTCTCGCTGGGACCAGGCTCCAAGACACAACAAGCAGTAAGCAGGATCTCTTCCACTTGGGCTTTCCAACTTTTACAACCCTATTGTGTTCATTAGCAGGCTCATTCTTTTTGGCTTAAATGGCCTTCCTGTAGGTTTCAGGGCTGAACAACAACTTATAAATCAAAGTCATACACAGCATCCGCTAAATGCACATCTTATCCAACTCTAAATCTCTGTTTTCCCTTTAGCTTTCATATAGCCCACACATTACACAATAACCACAGCAGACCTAGTGCTTGGGGCCCTTTTTGCAAACTCGTTGCATCAGTTTTAGGGGTCCACGGTGACAGGGTACCCCATGCTGACAGGGCACCGATACTTCAGAAGCCAAACAAATTCCTATCAGCCAAGAGCTGGAGAGGTTAAAGTTTTTAACTGAAGCTTCAGCCTGTTCACATGGCTCTTGTTACCATGCCAGTGAAAGCCATGTGTCCAAAATCCATGGAAGCACAAGGACTTCTGCAAACAGCGGATGGACTCTTCCAGCTCTTGGAAACATCTGCTGTGGGAAGGTGTGAAGAGACAGCTTCGTGCGGTACGGGAGCAAAAAACACCCCTTCGAGTAAGCTCTGAAAGCTGAAGCAGGAGGAACAGAGCACTTGGTCTGCAGCATCAGCAGGAATAACCTTCTTTGTCAGATCCCCAGTGAGATGCTCAGCCT